AGAGAGAGAGAGAGAGAGAGAGAGAGAGAGAGAGAGAGAGAGAGAGAGCGAGACCGTGGCGGACAGCTAGAAATAGGTCGCACGTAATATCGACTCCTGCATCTACGTACGAATCAAACGTAATTATTAACTCTGTATAAGAAATCTCCAGCGGCTAGACGCGGGAGCGAAACCATCTCCCCATCATCCACGCATAATCTCTCCACACGTTCACCGCGAAGAATGTCAACGGGGCACCGCGGCACCGTCCCGCTCCCCCAAGCTCCCGTCTTCCCCACGCTCGCTCTCACTGCGTGGAGATGGGATGTGAGTATTCAGCGTGATGAACCAGCAACAGCGCCGTCTGTCGACGCTAACGCCACCTAGTATCTAGAATCGGAAACACCATGTGTAATTTCACCGATGCCCGGATGCTGCGCATCTTCTGAGAGCTTACGGACGTCTCTCCTACGTGTCTGTCGCAACCCGACTGTGCATGCGCGTCAGCCGCCAGGAGGCAGCGTAGTCGATGAGACAAGAGAGCACGTCATCGACACATGTTGACGTAGAGACGTCTGTGATGGTATCGAGATGGTCACATATAGGTCAGAGCGCGCGACAAGAATAAAAAGGGAAATGCCAATATTTACTTTAGCCTGTTATCGCGGTAGAAGAGGGGAGGAGGAATGGAAGGAACATATAACTGCCCAAATAATTAAAATCACGCCAGGTCTGACAATTGACTCGTATCCCTAAATAAATAACCCTAGTGAAGCTTAAAGCGGTGGGTATATGTTTCCATGAACCTGACTGATCGCGCATCCACGCTTCAGCAGATGTGAGTATTATTACACCGTATAATTAATCACGTATTGAGTAAGATAAACAGTTGAGTTGATAAGTTGAGCACATAAAGTGATTTTGATGAGTACGCCACGAGCAGCCCTGGTAACGTCGCACGGGAGGTTATGCTACGATGCTGGACGCTGCGTCATCACACAGAATCGAGGAGTATCATTATACGTCACTTATGAGGTTTAATGTGTCTCTCTACCCTCACACGTGTCTCCGTACCCTCACACGTGTGTCCCTACCTTCACACGTGTGTCCCTACCCTCACACGTGTGTCTCTACCCTCGCACGTGTGTACCTACCCTCACACGTGTGTCTCTACCCTCGCACGTGTGTTCCTACCCACACACGTGTGTCTCTAACCTCACACGTGTCCCCCTAGCCTCACACGTGTCCCCCTACTCTCACATGTGTCCCCCTACCCTCACACGTGTCTCCGTACCCTCACAAGCGTATTCTTACCCTCACACGTGTCTCTCTACACGTGTCACGACAACATCACACCGGACTAGAAACCCTGCGAAACATATCGTGCTCGTTGCGTCGGATGTTGCGCACGGCCCACTTCTGGTCTCGCCTCGCCGACATGTCGACGTACGTGTTCAGCGAGTTACTTCCGCCACCGTCGGCGCGCGCGACGACGGCCAGACAGTGGCGACGTGTCTGAAACGTCCGCACGTCGCGCATCGTCGGCGGCCGCCCGCCCTGCCGACGCACGTGCTGCGACAGGGCGCGCCACGATCGGCGCAGGAAGCTAGAGTTTGTCGCGTCGGCGGTCGCCTCGGAGTTGTAGAGCACGCGCTCGCTGTCGACGCCGCCGCATCCGCAGAGCATGCGCACTGCCGAGCGAAACTTCTGACTGAACAGACAGTAGCAGATGGGATTGACGGACGAGTTGGTGAGCGCCAGCCACTGCACGATCGGATAGATACGCGTGCCGACGAACACCTTGCTGTCGTCGAGCGCGTCGCTGACGTGCGAGAAGTCGAGCCAGAGAATGACGACGTGGTAAGGCAGCCACGTGATCGCGAACAGTATCGTGAGCATGATGATCAGCTTGACGAGTTTGCGTCGGCGATTCTGTATGCGCAGCGCGTCGAACTGCTGCCGCTGCGTGTCGGTCTTACGCAGCCGCTTGTCGCCGTGCCACAGAGTGCGTGCGATCTTCGCGTACGCGTACGTCATAATGCAGACGGGCACGACGTACAACACGGCGAAGAGGAACATGCCGTGAGAGCGCTTGAAGGCGACGTGCGACCAATGCTCGGTGCATATCGTCACGCCGACGTCATCGGTGAGCGTGCGCGACACGAACAGGAAGGGCAGCATGAGCAGCGTCGACACGATCCAGACGACGGCGACGATGGCGCGCACGTGCCGACTGTGAAAGATGACGCGCGCCTTCACCGGATGGTAGATCTTGTAGTAGCGATCGACGCTGACGACGAGCAGCGTCAGGACGCTGACGCTGACGCTGACGCCCTGCACGAACGGCATGAGACGGCACATGACGTCGCCGTAGAGCCAGGCGCGGTAGACGGTGTAGCCGAGCGTCAGCGGCATGCAGACGACGACGACCATGATGTCGCCGACGGCGAGGTTGACGAGAAACGTGTACGTCAGCGTGCGCATGCTGCGATACCTGGCGACGGTGAGAAAGACGAGGATGTTGCCGACGAGACCGATGAGAAAGACGACGCCGTAAGCGACTACGAGGCCGACAGTGAGCGCCGTGCGGTGCGTGTACAGACTGCCCTGTATCTCCTGTCGTAGTCTCGTCTCGTAGTCGGCCAGCCACGTTTGCCACAAATCCGAATCGTTGCCGACGCTCGAGTTAGGCATTGGCCAGTCGTCGGCCCACTGAAAGCCGCTCTCCGATTGGTCGGCGACCATCGCGTCGACGACGTCATACGTCTGCTCTGATTGGTCCATGGGGGCGTGCGTATCGATGATCATCACGGTGACGTCATCGTCGTCGGCGTCGGCGTCGCCATCTGCAGCGGAGAAAAGTAACGGTGAAAAAACTTGAGGACGGAGGGGGGTGGGTCCGTGTTCGAGAGAAGATTGGAGGCGGAAGCTGGCATTCGCGCATGCGCGTTTACATCAGCCGTTCATCACTCGTTTGCCGCCCGTTTCATGCATGTTTTATAAACGTATCTGAGCGCGTAAACATGTTACGTAACCCTTTACCGACATCCATTCGAATTGAATTATACATACGCGCTGACCCATCGCCAAAGCGCATCATCGCCTCGGCAATCGCATGAACACATAGACAGACATCTAGTTGACAGGTAGCACTGTTGTGAGCAAGGGTGCCAGCAGTGCGTGAAGCTAAACCTACAGCTAAAGTTAAAGCTAAGCGGTCGATAACGCAAGAGCTTTGAACATATATAGAGAGGTTGGTAGGAAGAAGAAAAAACGCCAGGTTGCCTGCATAAAATCGTCAGTGTAAACGCAGCGAGAGTTGAAACCAGCGCGATCAGCCGAGGCAGACTGGCAACGAATTGCCGCCCAGCGAATCGATCAACGCTGTTACACTATTAGTGGGGCTCTTTGCGAAACCTTTCTCTTCCGCGGCTGTGTAACGTGTATAGTGGGTGGGTTTGCGGGAAATACGAGCGGATTGCGCGGGCGTGTTGTTGCGTGATGGATCATTATGTGCGTTTTATGTTCGACGTCATAAAAACACGCCAGCGGTAAAACCAAGTGGTGTTTGGCACAAGCAAGCTAGAACTTTGGTCTTTCGCTCGCACTCTCTCTCTTTCTCTCTTTCTCTCGCTATATATATATATATA